CAAAACTCCATCGGCAACTCCTCCACCAGCACCACTTGCAATCCCATTTACAGTGAGGGAACGATCCTAGAGTTGAAAATCACAATGGAATTCCATCGGCAACTCATCCACCAGCACCACTTGCAACCCCATTTACAATGCGGGAACGATCCTACAGTTGCAAATCACAATGGAATTCTGTCGGCCACACATGCACGAAAAACAGCTGAAACCCCATTTACAATGCGGAACCGATCCGAGACCAATCCGAGGATGATCCGAGAATGATCCGACCACACACGAGACCGTCTCGCACCCGTCGCACCGCAGAGGTAGATCATCGACGTTCGGGGACGGACTTTGTATGGAAAAACATAGGCTTTCGTGCATCTGCTATCTCTCAAAAACGCATTTCGTGCGAGACTTCCTGCAAAACTCCATCGGCAACTCATCCACCAGCACCACTTGCAATCCCATTTACAGTGAGGGAACGATCCTAGAGTTGCAAATCACAATGGAATTCCATCAGCAACTCATCCACCAGCACCACTTGCAACCCCATTTACAATGCGGGAACAATCCTACAGTTGCAAATCACAATGGAATTCTGCCGACCACACATGCACGAAAAACAGTTGAAACCCCATTTACAATGCGGAACCGATCCGAGAATGATCCGAGAATATCCGAGAATGATCCGACCACACACGAGACCGTCTCGCACCCGTCGCACCGCAGAGGTAGATCATCGAGGTTCGGGGACGGACTTTGTATGGAAAAACATAGGGTTTCTTGCATCTGCTATCTCTCAAAAACGCATTTCGTGCGAGACTTTCTGCAAAAGTCCATCGGCAACTCCACCAGCACCACTTGCAATCCCATTTACAGTGAGGGAACGATCCTAGAGTTGCAAATCACAATGGAATTCCATCAGCAACTCATCCACCAGCACCACTTGCAACCCCATTTACAATGCGGAAACAATCCTACAGTTGCAAATCACAATGGAATTCTGTCGACCACACATGCACGAAAAACAGTTGAAACCCCATTTACAATGCGGAACCGATCCGAGAATGATCCGAGCATGATCCGAGGATGATCCGACCACACACGAGACCGTCTCGCACCCGTCGCACCGCAGAGGTAGATCATCGACGTTCGAGGACGCACTTTGTATGGAAAAACATAGGGTTTCGTGCATCTGCTACCTCTCAAAAACGCATTTCGTGCGAGACTTCCTCCAAAACTCCATCGGCAACTCCTCCACTTGCACCACTTGCAATCCCATGTACAGTGAGGGAACGATCCTAGAGTTGCAAATCACAATGCATTCCATCAGCAACTCATCCACCAGCACCACTTGCAATCCCATTTACATTGCGGGAACGATCCTACAGTTGCAAATCACAATGGAATTCTGTCGCCCACACATGCACGAAAAACAGTTGAAACCCCATTGACAATGCGGAACCGATCCGAGACCAATCCGAGCATGATCCGAGGATGATCCGACCACACACGAGACCGTCTCGCACCCGTCGCACCGCAGAGGTAGATCATCGAGGTTCGGGGACGGACTTTGTATGGAAAAACATAGGGTTTTGTGCATCTGCTATCTCTCAAAAACGCATTTCGTGCGAGACTTCCTCCAAAACTCCATCGGCAACTCCTCCACCAGCACCACTTGCAATCCCATTTACAGTGAGGGAACGATCCTAGAGTTGCAAATCACAATGGAATTCCATCAGAAACTCATCCACCAGCACCACTTGCAACCCCATTTACAATGCGGGAACGATCCTACAGTTGCAAATCACAATGGAATTCTGTCGACCACACATGCACGAAAAACAGTTGAAACCCCATGTACAATGCGGAACCGATCCGAGACCGATCCGAGACCAATCCGAGGATGATCCGAGGATGATCCGACCACACACGAGACCGTCTCGCACCCGTCGCACCGCAGAGGTAGATCATCGACGTTTGGGGACGGACTTTGTATGGAAAAACACAGGGTTTCGTGCATCTGCTATCTCTCAAAAACGCATTTCGTGCGAGACTTCCTTCAAAACTCCATCGGCAACTCATCCACCAGCACCACTTGCAATCCCATTTACAGTGAGGGAACAATTTCTTTGCTAACTCTTTCTTTGACTCACTCTTTTCCTCACTAACTCTTTCTTTGACTAACTTGTTTCTTTGCTAACTCTTTCTTTGACTACCTCATATATCCTGACTAACTCTTTCTTTGACTAACTCTTTCCCTGACGAACTCTTTCTTTGACTAACTGTTTCTTTGCTAACTCTTTCCCTCACTAACTCTTTCCCTCACTAACTCTTTCTTTGACTAACTCTTTCCCTGACTAACTGTTTCTTTGCTAACTCTTTCTTTGACTAACTCTTTCCCTCACTAACTCTTTCTTTGACTAACTCTTTCCCTGACTAACTGTTTCTTTGCTAACTCTTTCTTTGACTAACTCTTTCCCTCACTAACTCTTTCTTTGACTAACTCTTTCCCTGACTAACTGTTCCTTTGCTAACTCTTTCTTTGACTAACTCTTTCTAACTCTTTCTTTGACTAACTCTTTCCCTGACACTAACTCTTTCTTTGACTAACTCTTTCCCTGACTAACTCTTTCTTTGACTACCTAACTCTTTCCCTGACTAACTGTTTCTTTGACTAACTCTTTCTTTGACTAACTCTTTCCCTGACGAACTCTTTCTTTGCTAACTCTTCCTGTGACTAACTCTTTCCCTCACTAACCCTTTCTTTGACTAACTCTTTCCCTGACTAACTGTTTCTTTGCTAACTCTTTCTTTGACTAACTCTTTCCCTCACTAACTCTTTCTTTGACTAACTCTTTCCCTGACATTCTAAAAGTCCGTAACACGGAAGTTTCTCCCCCTAAACTTCCTTTGACTAATATTACAACTACGTCTGATAACAACTGGTGCCGTGTTCAAGGCATGCAGCATGCGGCGGATTTTCATGATTTTCTTCTCAGTTCTTGATTTCCAGATTGATTCCTCAAAGTGCCCTTCCCATGGTTTTCAATGTTTAAAAGGCGACCACATCGCCTTTTCATCTCGCCGCTTGCATAGATGTGGCTTGCCTTTATGGCGATGGATGAGTTGCCAAGCTGCGATCCTTAAAATGATTGGAAAACCAAGGGAAGACTCATTCTTGAAAGGTGGAATTACTGGAACAAACTGGAATATTGAACACACATTGTACACACATTTTTTTAAAACCACCTGATTGATCCTGATTGCACATGTTTTTTGGAGTCATTGAGGAAACCACTGAATCTTCTATTGACGAAGCATTTGGACATCAAAGTCGCTGACCTTGGGATCAGCAAAGTCCTTGAAGGTCGAGGAGATTTATCCGATCGAGGCTACAAAATGACAGGAGGAGTTGGAAGTTGGCGTTACATGGCTCCAGAAGTCCTGCGTCATCAGCAGTACAACGAGAAAGTGGACATCTTTGCCTTCGCGTTGATCATGTATTTCATCAGCTCTGGACAGCAACCCTTTTCTCAATGGGGAGATCCAGAAATCATTCTCAAAGAATATCTGAAAGGAGAAGAACCGAGGCCAAATTTATCAGATTGTCATGTCAAAGTACAAGGCATCATCCAAGCAGCCTGGCATGTGAATTGGGTGCAACGTCCGTCAGCACAAGATATTTTGGGGGAGCTGATGGAATTGGAGAGACTCGAACTGGAAGCCCTGGAAGCCTCGAGCAATCTTCCTCGATGCATGTGCCCTCAAATGTGAGCCCAAAGTCTGGCCAAGTCGCCGCGGAGCAAAAGGGGCTCTTCACCTCCAACTCTTTCAACTCCACCATTTCCACCATTGTGGCAATGACCATAAGATCCATAAGATTCACCATTTGACTCAGGTGATTCACCCTTGCCCCAAGATTTGGTTGCTCGCTCTCTGGTTCTTTCCTTTCTTCTGCGGGCCTTTGTTCCCAAAATGTCCTTTCAACTGAGCATTAATCACCATTTTTTTGATATATAATTCTTCTCAAATTCACAAGTTGAGATACGTAACACATCGTAACACCGTGGCACAAAAAATTCTCCGAGGCTTCGCCTTTGAGAGGATTGTCTCGAGGTGCTCGGAGCTTAGAAAACTCCAAGGCCGAGCAAGTTGTGTACGCCGGGCTGTCTCACCATTTTCCAGCCTGCGTTGCATCTTCGTTTTTTTTTTCGTTTAGTCTCCATGATGCAGACATGACAGGTGCTGGACATGTTACGCCGTTAGCAGAGATTCCATAGCATGCCAGAGATATCCATACATCACATGTCATATAGAATAATAAAATATAATAAGCAATACTGAATATGATATAGATCTACACCACATCATAGACAAATTCGCATCCATTTTGCCAACATCGTCGCATTCATTGCATTCGTTGCAACGGTGAGACGAGGCCAGCGGCATTCTGTCGCTGGGCTCTGCTGTGACACCCCGAAGTGCCCAGGGCGTCAGAGTCTGAGGATGAACAAATAAAAAGTGAATGAATCGAAGGGTAACACGAAGTGCACTGCAATAGTATAATAGATATATATATGTATAATATGGGCAGTGCAAGCACGAGAATGATTGGTTTTTTAGCTGATTAGCCGCTGGCATTGTTCTCAAGATCTAAAGGTGCTCCGCAATGGATCAACAGGTGATTCTGGGGGCAGTCTCACTGTCCCTGGGATTTGTCATTGGGTGGCAGGCGAAACCAGCTGCTAAGGAGGAGATTGCTCCCTGCAGTTGTGCCTGTCACTGCGGGTGCAAGTGCGAGGCTGCTTTGAGTGGTTCACTTTTGCTTGGTTTTGGGATTGTCTTGATTGTGATTCTGGGCGTGGGAGCCTTACTCTTCTTGAACCGTCCGCTGGCCACTGTTGAGACGGAACCCAATCCTGCAAAGGGAAAGAAAGGAGTTTTTGGGCAGACCGGCAAGGTACTTTCTTTGACTCCCACTCTGTAAGAGCAGTAAGCCATGGAAGCCGGGCATATTGCGCTGGTCTCATATGGTGAAAGACCGGTGGTGTGGCACACGAGGATCCTTTTGGCACATGTCCATGGGAGTTGCTGGATCATACTGACCCCTGATCATGATCGATATGAAGAACAGCTTGATGCAGCAAATCCCGACTACGAGGATTTTGAGTTCCTAGGGCCCAATCATGCCATTCCAGCCAGGATACCTCAGGCGTCAATCTATGGTTTTGCACCAATGGATCCTGGTGAGTTAGCCAGACAAATGGCTCTTGGTCGAATTGAGGCCGACTCTATTCGAGCACAACGTGGACTTCCACCTCTTGCTGGAGGAAGGCAAGGAGTGGCTGCACCAGCACCTGTTCCTGCTGCACCAGTACCTGCCCCGCCTCCCTCTGGCGTATTGGGGCCAGCGGCTGGGCCAGTTGCAGCAGCAGCTCCAGCAGTGGGAGTAGCAGATCCCTACTGTTGGGTGACTCTGGAGTCTGGGGCCGGAAGATTGAAGGGCGATGTGGTGGTAGTTGAACCAAATCCGCTTCCTGCGGGAACCCAGCAGTTGGGAGATCGTGCCATGCTGCAAGATCCTGCACAGCCTGGGCATGGTATCTTCTTGAAAAGGGTTCTGCAGTCCCAGTCTTCCACATACAAGCTTGATGACTTCAGGGTGTTGCCAGTGCAGTTCGATGCTCAAGGAGTGAGGCGGAGAGATTTTCACAGTGCGGTGCCCATCATGATCGAAGGGTCTCCAGCTGGAGGTGGTTTGCAGTTGGAAGGGCCTGCAACGGCTCTCAACATTGCCAAGGGCCTAAGGGATCAGAACCTGACTCCGACTACATACCATGAGTTCTGGATTAGAACTGGAGAGATACCAAAGGGTGACCGCAGTGTTTATGAGCACGAATGTCTTTCTCGGATCTTTGAGGCGATGGTCACAATAGATCAACTCAATCCTAGTGGTTTGCAATCGGCTGAATTGGTGGTGCATAGAATGCAGGTGATTCGTGAGGCCCATAGGATAAGTCCCACATCTCCTGACTACAGCAGTGCCGACATCTTTATGGGATGGCGATACCGAAAGCAGACTCAGGGCGTCGATTCAAGCCTAGCTGCCTACGTAGCTGTGGAACTCAAGAGCGATGCAGCCATTGCGAAAGAGAGCCGTAAAGCTCGTGAAGAACAGCAGCAAAGGCGCCGGAACCTGCCGAAAGGAGGCGGGGGAGGCGCTGATCCCAAGTGAGATCGAGATGTCCATGGGCTATTCGGCTGGGCTCATGGATGCAACCAAAGCCGAAGGGAGTGGCCTGTCCTTTGAAAATTTCCAGACGGGTCCTCAAAGTTTTGATTTTTCAGGCGGGGATTCAGCTGTTCCAGATCCAAACCGCTGGAGAGAGCTTTTTCCGTTGCCTGCGTCCCCATTGCCGGTCCATGCATCAGGTTCTTCAACTTGCTCGCGCAGGAGAAGGGCAAAGGTGCGGACACGTGTTAATGAGGCTAATGAGATTGTCAGATGTTTGAATGAAATGTATCATCCCAGAAAAAAGTCTTATGATATTGAGACTCCAACCCTGGCTCAACATTCCAGCCAACATGCAATCTATAAACAACTCCAGCGAAGACCAGCACTTCGCCATTCTTGTACAGAGCGTGAGGCTATTGAAGAGCTTCTGCATCATGAAGTGGCGTACACGGGTGAGACGTGTGCGACTACGGTGCGCCCATACGACCGTTCTTTGGTGTCCCTTCCGGATTGTGGTTCAAAACTCGTGCCTCTTGATCAGGTACTGGATGCAGCCGGACGAGAAGTGGTGGGCGACCCCCATGGTCGAATGCTGGTGAGTGAGGCTGAATGGGGTGAGATTGTGGAGAAAGGTGAAACGGTGATGCCTTACATGGACGTGACTTTGCAGAAATGTCCTGAACTATATCATCAATTCATCTTAGATCTTTACGAGAAGAACTTGATCAGTTTTACAAGCAAGCCACAGGGACTGGTCACCCCCTTCTTTGTTGCCAAAAAGAATGGACGTTTGAGATTTATTTTGGATTGCCGAGCGGTGAACAGACGGTTTCATCCTCCTCCTCCCTTAGCTATGGCCGCAGGTAGCACATGGAGCTCTTTGGATTTACCACAAGGTGAGATTCTGTACACGGCTCAAAGTGATATCCGTGACTATTTTTATTCCTTGGAACTTCCAACTAGTCTTCAACCACTTTTTTGCCTTCCGGCCATTCCACATCGGTTGCTGCAGGCTTGGGGTGTGGATGAGCGGCATTTTTCAGAACCAGATGGACAAGGTTGGGTTTTTCCTCATCTTGTTGCAGTCCCCATGGGATGGAACTGGGCTATGTGGCTGTCACAACGTGCACACCAGCAAATTGCTTTGGAGGCTTCTGGATTGGGAGTCGACAGAGTTCTGGTGGAAGGCAAGCCATGTCCTGAATTGGCATCAGGGAAACCAGTGATCATACCCTATGCAGACAACTTGAACGTGACGGGCATAAATGCTGAACTGGTTCAACAAACAAAGGATGTTGTTGTGAAGCGGTTGAGGGAGCTAGGTTTCAGAGTTCATGAAGAGTTAGATGCACATCATACTTGCCAATCCTTGGGTTTTTTGATTGATGGTCTGAATGGCACAGTCTCGCCCATACCTGAAAGACTTGACAAGATATGCAAAGCGTTCATGTGGCTGTCGAGACGGCCACAGGTCAGTGGACGATCCATTGAAAGGCTTCTGGGACATGCGGTGCACATTTGCCTTCTTCGTAGAGAGCTGTTGAGCATTTTTCGGGGCCTTTATGACTTTGCATATTCATGTTATGACAGGCGGGCGAAACTATGGCCAGTAGCGGCCAAGGAGGCGAGGTGGGCAGCTAATCTTCTCAAACTTTGTCAAGCTGACCTCAAAAAGACATGGTCGCGACAGGTGACCTCATCTGATGCTTCTCTGAGTGGCATAGCAGTTTGCAAGAGGGACATGGAGCCAGCTGAGCAATCCATCATTGGAGGCATCAAGGAACATTGGCGATACAAGAGTAGAATACCCGTGAATCCGCGTGAAGCTGCCTTGTCCCCTCTTGATCCTTTTTCCAACCCAGAGACCGTGAAACCATCAGAGGTTCAAAAGCAAGATCCATTTGAGCTGAATGAGGTTTTTCCGGAAGTCCCCAAAAAGCATCTTCAGAAAGATCTGTGGCATGACGTTTTTGCAGTACACATGACACACCCGGAGCATATCAGCTTATTGGAAGGTAGAGGTGTAGTAGCGGCTCTCAGACACAAGTTTCGCAGTTCATTCGAGTTCAATCGCAAGCATCTCCATTTTTCAGACAATCTTGCCGTGGCTCTATTGGCTGCAAGGGGTCGTTCGAACAACTTCCAAATGCTGCGGGTGAGTCGCAGAATAGCTGCACTCCTCTTGGCAACTGGCAGCTGGCTGTCCGTCAGGTGGATCCCCAGCGAGTACAACGTTGCTGATCGAGCTTCAAGGCAGTGGGAACACCTGAGGGACAGCCATGTTGCTAGCAGAGGTGCCGTTGAGAAGGGGAAGAAAGAGATCCATGCCAGATGCTACAACAAGGCCGCAATCGCCTTGGGTAGAACCAATTTTAAGGAGGGCCACGTCGGAGATGAGTCGAAAGGGGAAGAAGAGGTCAAAAGCCACCCCTTGCCAGCTGGGGCTGACCAAAGATCAGAAGATCAGCAGTCGGCGGGCGAAGATGCAGACCCGTGTGGATCCTCCCCGGTTTTGGGGGCAGACCATGTTAGAGAAGGTGGCCGTTTCTCAACCAGTTGCGCTAGACTATCAGCGAAGAGTCAAGGAGCTGAAGCAGTATGCCAAAAAACAGAGGCTCTCACTGAAAGGGGCTACCAACTTCGATCAGGCTTGCTGCAAGTTTGTGAATCACATGTTCAATCAAGGGTTCGACCTTCAAGACGGAAGCAAAACACTTGCAGCAATCATGGATGCGTTCCCCGCCTTTTCCCCCAAGCACATGTTGAGCCGAACACGAAGGGCACTTCAGGGCTGGGGAAAGCTGGAACCCCAACAGACAAGACCTCCAGTCCCATGGCTGCTGATTCAGGCGATCTCCATGGAACTGCTGAAGAAGAACAAGAAGGCTTCAGCAGCAGCAATATTGCTCATGTTCACAGCCTACCTCAGACCAGGCGAAGCTCTAGACGTGCAGCGACGGGATTTAGTGCCACCATTGCCAGGCAGCAAGCACTACTCGCTGCACCTTCATCCCGCAGAAAGAGCTCAGCAGTCCAAGGTGGGGCTGTCGGACGAGTCAATCTTGCTGGACAGCCCAGTTCTTCCATGGATAGGCGACATATTATACGAGATAGCCACGGATCCAATATACCTTCTGGATATCACTTACGATCAACTGGTGGGCGATTGGAAAAGGGCACTCAAGAATCTTGGGCTGGCAGAGAATCACGCGGTTCTATATCAACTGAGACATGCAGGGCCCAGTCACGACAGATATATGAAGTTGAGGTCACTGCCGGAAGTCAAACAAAGAGGCCGATGGGCAGCAGACAGCAGCGTCAGGCGCTACGAGGCCCACGCCAGGATCAGCCAGGAATTCCATGCTCTTCCAAAACAGACCCAAAGACTTTGCTGGCATGTGGATTCAATCTTCCTGGCCCAGGCCCCAAGACTTTTCCGCCAGTGATGAATGGTCAGAGTCAGCGTCTCTCCAGGCATATTGTCCTTGAACTGTTTAGTGGATGCGCTGCTTTATCCAAGGGCTGTTCACAACATGGGTTCTTAGCGATTGCCTATGACATTGATTACAGCAGTAATTGTGATCTTCTACAACCTCATGTTGTTGATGACGTTCTGGCCTTCTTGACGCAGCACTCCAACTTAGTGGCACTTGTTTGGATGGGAACCCCATGCTCTTCATGGTCTCGGGCTAGAAAACATGACGGTGGCCCCAGACCCTTGAGAGATGATTCAGCGAATTTGTTGGGTTTTCATGACATCCCCAGAAAAGATCAAGTCAAAGTTCAGATAGGAAACCAACTTTTGTCAGTTTCCGCCAAAATTGCACGGCATTGCATGCACCTCGGCATCAGCTTTGTGATAGAGAACCCGTACTCCTCTCGAATCTGGCTGACTGAGCAGATGCGCTCTTTAGTTGCGGCTGGGGCATCTTTTGGCAGGACTGACTTTTGTGGATTCAAAACACCCTGGCGCAAAGCTACTGGATTTATGTTCTGGCAATTTCCTGAGCTGGCTACCATTTTCAAGACTTGTTTGACCCAAAATGGACGCTGTAGCTTCTCTGGACGTAGGCATATCATCCTTAGTGGCATAGATAGTCAAGGTGTCTGGTTAACCAGACGTGCACAACCATATCCGAAGGATATGTGTGATGCCATTGCCCAGCAGCTTTTTAACCATTTTTCTTCTTAAGCGCACTTCTTGCAAGTGGATATGGGTGGATGAGGGTCTTCGTCGTTTTGATTTCATCTAACTTTGAAGATCCCGGCCAGCAACGCTGAGAAGATCTCATGTTCTGACTTCATCCTTCTTTTGAACTTCGGAGGCTTGTCAAAGCCGCTTGCAAAACAAGAGCCCTGGCTGATGCGACAATCCCATCATGGGCAGTGCAAGCACGAGAATGATTGGTTTTTTAGCTGATTAGCCGCTGGCATTGTTCTCAAGATCTCCACCACCATCCCCTCCACCTTCCTGATCTCGCATTCTGCGGGGGTGGATGGGGGTCTTCGTCGTTTTGATTTCATCTAACTTTGAAGATCCCGGCCAGCAACACTGAGAAGATCTCATGTTCTGACTTCATCCTTCTTTTGAACTTCGGAGGCTTGTCAAAGCCGCTTGCAAAACAAGAGCCCTGGCTGATGCGACAATCCCATCACATCATATATATATATATATGTATAATATATATATATGTATATATAATAGTAAAGTGAAGTTTTTTTTCATGAAGCTATGCTCTTTTCAGAGGCTGCGCGTTGTGTCGAGATTGCACAGGCAGCTTTGGCACGCGCGGCCTCCAATCACTCCATTCGCTCCTTGAGCTCCGTTGGTGCCAGGACCCTCGAAGAGCGTTGGGCTCCTGTTGCAGTTGACATACCTTCTCAAATAAGAGTTAACCACAGATGGAATGAATGTAACTTACATATATATATATAACTATATAACTAACATACTCGTTTGAAGCTCAACATGTATCCAAATGGCTAAAAGACTACGGTGCATATTGCATATATACTCCACAGACAATTTGATTGCTTTAGCCAACATGAGAACTTAGTATTTGGATGCATTTGCTGTTTTGGTCTTCGATGAGCAACAAAAGACACCTGTCAAAGGGGATTGATGACTGAAGTGGCAACCAGTATTTCTGCCACTATCTCTTGTTTCGCGTCTGGAAACTTCATGAGACCTGAGTTTCCAATGCCCTGTTGTTTTGGTTTTTATGTCCTGATACGGAAGTGTCCACAGCGAGCTTGATATTTTTTTCAGTGCTGAGGAATGAGCATGAAATCTTGAACCGATAATCACAAAGTATCCGTAAAGTTCACTTGATTGCGTGCAAACACATATACAAGCAATTACATTGCCTTATGCAGCATCCATTCACATCTATCTTGAGGACTAAGTCATGTAAGAGTCATGTAAGAGTCATGGACATGTCCTGTGCGATTTGTGGCAGCTCAGAGTGACTTTCCTTCTCCAGTCTTGCAGGAGTCTTAAACATTCTTAAACAGTTTCCATTTCTTGATTAAATTTCTCAATCACCAAGATGTGAACATGTTTCCGGATGTTTCCGGATGTTTCCGGTGATCCTTTAAAGGCTCCTTTTGTGACGACGCTGAGTTTGCTTCGTTGCCCGGAACAGCGCTGAAGGACACCTAAGACTCCAGTGACACCGCGGACACCGAAGACGCCGAACAACTCGCATGAGACTCATGACATCTCATGACATCTCATGACATACCCTCTGGTAATTTAAAAGTTTGCTATTGAAAATGGCCATTAATAGTGGATTTTCCCATTAAAAATGGTGATTTTCCATAGCTATGTTAGTTTACCAGAGGGTACCGCATCATACAACTCACGGTGTTTGACAAAGCACCGGTGACACAGTGAGCACACGGAATCCCAATTCCACTTCCCACTTCCGGCGTCTGTCTCTTGAAATTTTGCTGCGCATTTCACTCTGTCTCATTCCGCTGACCACCTCTGACATGTCCAGCGTTGTCCAGGTTCTTCGCTCCGACCGGAGCAGTGGTGGTGCCCCAGAATCGTTTACAACGTGGACTTGTGATGACTTGCGATGACTTGCGATGACTTGCGTTGTGTTTCAGGACACCAGATTCGATGAAGTTTGATTGGCTCAGGCTGGATATGCAACTACTTTCGCTGCAGCAGCGCGCACGGAGGCATGCAGTTGTAAATTCGCTCGCCAAAAACGCGTCACTTCTGAGCAAAAAATCCCTTTGTGATATGGAAAGATATGGATCGACTGAGTTTGCGAACAGAGTTTGGCCACATTTCTGGTGTCCATTTGGTTGTCCCATTTGGTTGTCCGGCTCGGTGCAGGAGTCGCTGCCTTCGCTGGGGCCTTCGGAGCCCAACTCTCCAGAACGTCACGCACACGGGTGCCTGGGGTGCCTGGGGTGCCTGGGGTGCCTGGGCCAGCGGCGTTCACACGAAATGCGGAGAAGCCGATCGGAGAAGATCGGAGAAGTGAAAAGGAAACAAGATGAAGAGGAAGAGGGAAGTTTGTTGATGAAGATCCTGATGAAATATTAGATGTTTGATGTTTGATGAGATAAGTTTTTATAAGTTTTTGAGGGAAGAACCATTCTTGGAACGTCATTCATTGTTCATTTATGGTTCACTTGATTTCATTTGTCAGGTCGCTTCGCTATCATTCCGACTTGCCCATCCTCCTGGGACAGGCCGTTGGAAACTCAGAGTCAGCTCAAATCTTCCGTTGTATCATCATGTACGACAATGTAAATAAGACTTTTAAAAAACATAAATAAAAGACACTGATATTTCTTGTGTAGTCATATTAATTGATTTCCGCTTTGTGTCATTTGCCTTTGTGTTATTATTGTCTTGTAGCCGTGTCGTGTTTTTGACTGGATGGGAATGGTTGATGTTTATTTATACCACCTATATATTTATGGTGATGACTGGGGGATGGTTGATGGATGTTGATGGTTTATAAAGTTTGAATACCTAATGGTGATTGAGAAAAATACCTAGTTTATAGTAAACATATCACCATATATCACCTGGTGATTTATACCATATTGATGGTTTATGATTGTTTTACCCACAGTCACTTTCTTGTCACAGGCTGCAGCGTCGCCTCCATCGCCCTCTCTGAATCCTCGCAGTGTTCATTTTCAGGACGAAATCAGACCCAAATAATACATAATATATATTATATATATATAGAGGGACATATGTATACACATGATTGCATGTATGTATATATATATAATATATATATATAATATATATATATGCATATACGTGAGTACTGTACTGTACTATATATATATACATGTACATGGACTATATGTATATATGCATGATTACATAGTATGTATATACACGATATATATACATATATATATGATATGCATATACAACTTTATGGATATATGCGTTTGAATCAAGTTGATTCGAACTTTACAATCAAACGTTTACAATTAATGTGCACGTCAAAGCTTCACTTTGATACCGCCAATCTGACTACCTTGCCGGCTTTCTTGAAGCAGTTTATTTCATTACCCACAGTTCTCCAGTAGTTCTCCAGTAGTTCTCGGTGCTTCGGACAGGACGACCTAGACTCGTTTGCTCGTTCCACGCGAGAGGCGCAGCATAGTCCCGATTCTATCATGGCGCGAACAAGACGAGACTATCAGGATCTGATGTTACGAGATTTTATTTAACCGCCTTCGGCGGTTTTGGCCACCATGGAAAGAGCCATCCTGGCCGCAAACAGCGCTTGCACAGGCCCAGCAAGAACATGGTTTTTGTGTAAAACGGCGCTTTCTGTAAAAGACGGTCTTGACGCAAAAACATGACTTTTGTTCAAACCACGGGTTAAGTTCAAACCAAAGCATGTGTGTAAACCAGGTTTTGGAAACGACCATAGAAAGGTTATGCGTGTAACAAGTGTTCGGCACAAGACAAGAGCCAGTGGATCATATAAGAAGCGACGGAGCAAACCGATGGCAAACACAACAAAAAAGACGGAAACAACATCAAAATGACAGCAAGATGTGCAAGACCAAGCCGGTGTTGAGCGAGGCGTGGGCAGAGTTGGGCCCAGCGTGCTTTGACACAGACAGGGTGGGACATTGTAAGTTCCCGCCACGTAATTCACACAGATTTTAGTCAGTGCACCAGATGAATATCTCCCGGTAGCTATTTGATGCTCTTTCCTTGAGCTTGCTTGACGACACATGAAGAAACAAGATGGGGTGGCTTGGGTGGCTGTGTGAGACTTGCTCGCCAGTGTCATTACGCATGAGTACCATGGGATCGTTTTCTCAATGTTTCTCTGGCCATTTCTTTTCCAGGTTGTAAGCGTTTTCACCAATTTGGACCAATTTCATTGTCGCTTCGCTACGTCGCTACGTCGCTACGTCCATCTTATCCTCAGCTTTTCGTATTCGCCAAACCTCCACACCTCAACTTGCCCGTGCAGATGGTGATGTCTCGTCAGTTCTGACCTTGGAATGCTCACTGCTCGAGGCTTTAGTTACTTTTAGTTACTTTAGTTTTAGCCAGTTCGCATCAGTTCTGGTACATCCTGATGCATCCTGATGCATTGCGTATGCATTGTGTATGTCACATTTGTGACTACTGCACGGTTCGGATTTGGCAGAGTTTTTAAGGCGGGCACGCAAGGAGCGTAAAGAGATGCTGGACAAGGACCTGCAACTGGATCTGATCAAAGCAGTCGAAACCGATATAAATTGACAGACAAATCAGAACAAATCAATGGACATTTTGCTGTGACTGCAGAAGTGTCATTACTTTCAGGGCACAAGAAAGATCAAGAAAGTAGCTGAGGTATGCTGCATGGTATGCTGATGTATTTTGCAGACGATTTGTTTTCCGTTGAGGCTATGAGGGAGAGCGGGATGTCTCGGTGAAAGCCTGACAGGGCGAAATCCAAGAGCCAAGGCGAGGCATTCGAAACAAGCAAAAAAATGTCTGGACAGCTAGTGTGCTTATGAATGCTTATGATATTTGGTTGGTGGTTTGGAACATGAATTGTATGACTTTCCATATATCCGGTTCATGTCATCATCCCAACTGACTTTCACTCCATCATTTTTCAGAGGGGTAGACTCAACCACCAACCAGATTATTATTAACCATCATCAACCATATATCAACCATAATATATTTATTAACCATAATCTATTGACCATATCTTAACCATATATTAACAGTATATTCACCATGGTTGTAGAAAACGGGTTCTACACAGCTTAAGTGCTTCGCACGGTGAGATCCTCGGATCCTTGACACTTGGATTCGGCGCTGCCAAAGGCAGCACGGATCGGTGATCGGTGACCAGGGGTGAGGGTCGGGTTAGAGGAACAGAGAAGATGAATGAAGTAACAAAAAATATAACATAAATAAATATGTATATATTTAAATGTATATATATATATATACATAATACATATACATATATATATATATTTAGTTATACAAATTTGAGAGTTTCAGAAGTGCTTTGAGACCTGAAAGCAACTGATCGTGATTTGATTGAATATTGATTGAATATCGTTAGCGAGTTGTCTTCCCATCTCTTTTCCTTGAACTCACCTTGCTCTTGGCTCATGGCACCGCAACGCTTAGACATGGCTTCAGCACCTCTTGAGGCTCACCTTGCCCCACTGCGACGAGTTCACTAAATGTTTTGGATGGGATAAGCACAGTAAACGACATGTCAGTAGCTGCGATGGGATTGAATTTCCAAATTCCAGATGGGGTGCCCCCAAGCCACACAGCGCACGTTTCCCGTGGAAACTCAGAGCCATCCTAAAGGGATGGCCAGGCTATGCCATGAGAGGAAGTTTCGTAGCGACATGTAGCGTGCGAAAGGCTCTGCGTTTTTGAACTTCGAGATATTTCGAGATCCTGCAAACTTTCAAGGCCCAAAGGCCTCTGAAAAGGTCGCCATGGTTTGACATGATTTGACCATTTGTTTCCTCAGGTGTTTGGCTCATGACGATAGGATTTGGTGCCCTAAGCCGGGGCGATTTTCGAACGTCTCTGGCAGTACAATGATGCAGCGGCATCGCGGCTGCGAGGATTTGTTGTCGACATTGTTTTTCTTTCTCTCTCTCTATATATACGCACATCTCTCTATACATATAATATACATATATATATATATACACATTTACGTATGCATATGTACATTTTCCTTTATATCCATATACACAGTTAATATACATTGCATGTATTATATTCCCTTCTTCCAGTTACAACATGGACTCTTCTGACTCTCAGGTCTTTGGTGCTCCTGTCCAAAATGGGCCCCAGCAAAGGCCGCGGCCCGCTAAATACCAAGCGGGCACCGAGGTTGAAGAAGGGGCCCGGCGCCACAAAATCTGAGTCGGAGGGGTCCGAAGGAGGGGTGGAGCAATTGCTCCATCTTCTTGGTGAGATGATAGCTTGTATCATACTATGCCAGAGATGCTATAAGAACTACACCGGAGACAGAGCTACGTCATAGGTATATACTCTTGACTATGTATATGTGTACATATATATATATAATATATATATATATATATAATATATATATAATATAATATATATATATATATGTACACATTATATAATGTGTTGTATACAGTTAGATCATCATCTCAAGCCCTCGCTGAGGTATGGAGCAATTGGCCTCGGTCGCCATACCAACAAAGGCCATGGGGCCATGGCCGTGTCTAAGTTTCAGCGCTCTGCCTTCGGGATGCTCATGCTCTCAACAGCAATCTTTTGTCCAGCCGAAACTATGCCGGATAAATCGGATAAACATGGATAAACACATACCGATTAAAACTGTTGTTTTTTTAAATGCAGCTTTGGCATTTTTCAATCGATGCTCAGCTTTGGATTTGCCATTTCGAGGATTTTTCTTCATCAATCCTATGCTCTTTCCAATCTTGAAGGTGCGATACCTCTGGTATGGCGTGCATTTTTGGAGATGCCATGGTCTGTATACACTGTACAAACCTGTATGTGGAGCAACTCATTCCTTGCTGTGGTCCACACTTGTTGAAGCAAGTTGTCCCGCATGGGAAACAGGTTGAAAACACATGCAAAAAACAGTGTTGAAAACACATTGGAGGACATTCTGTCACACAAAACAAAAGTGAAAGGGTTGGTTTGGCTCTTTGAGAAGCAGTTGCAGAGGTTCCCGACCTCAACAACTTTGAGCTCAAGCCGTGCCCTGTGAAGACAAGCTTTCCCAGAAAGTTTGGACTCCGAGGTGACAAACTAGCCCAACAATAAGCAACTATAAGATCAATAAGCAACAATCAGGCAAGATAATTGATATAATTGGCTTGCAAGAACATCAGTTGAGACAGTTGAGACATTCTGTCACAACTCGGAAGGATTTCTCTGAGAGCGGCTAGCTAGTAGCGGCTGAGAAAGACGACTCCTCTACACAACTGGGCCTGTTTGGGCCTTTCGCTTGGCGGACCGACCTGTTGACGAGCCAGAGGGGAGATCATGGGAGACAACTGATTTGGGCTTTGGAGACTTGTTTCAGATTGCTGGGGTGTCGCCATTTGGCTACCCATTTGTTGCCCGTATTTTGGTCCCAAAATTTGTTTTTCTTGTATATTCACCCCGCTTCGCGTGGGGTGGCCGCCCACACCGCAGGTTTATTTCGGTCCGTGAGAGGGGCTAAGTTCCCCCCCCCCTGGGATCCTTCCAATGGGTGCTTCTTTCACTTTTCCCCCCCGTGGAGGCTTCCCAAGCTAGGGAATTTTCG